CATGAAATTTTGCAATAATCTTGCGCCACCCTTGCACAAAACGACGGTCATTTTTCTAATTTCATAAACAACAGAAGACTGTATTTTTTCTACATAACCCCCCCTGACTTTAAGGCTGGATCCGCCCCTGGGCTGAACGCTTACCGATCTCTAGTGTAATAATCACCAATCCGACTGGCTGTGCCCACAGCCGACCCGATCACTATGTCAGTGCAGTCCATGGGGCTAAAATCGTGTCTTGGGGTGTAGGGGTGGAGATTGTCCCCAGCGGCTGCAATATGGGCGCAGTTAATTGAGCACGCCAATGACTATGCTGTTACGTGGCCGCCGTAATCTAGCATCACGTGATCGACGCTGACGTCACACGACTAGGAACAGGGGGGATGTGGAAGCACAACCTCACTTTCCTTGCCTTACGGCGGCCACGATTGTTCCGTGTTAGTTGGGTTATTGAGGTTATAAACTGGATGTCAATGAGTTAAAGCAATTATATCAGCTGCTGTTAGTTGTTCAGCCACAAAACACCCTAACCCGGACATGTACAAGGTGCAGAGAAACCTATGCTACTTTTTGAAGCTTCAGCGCCCTGTAGATCGTGCACGGAAATGACGTATTCGAATACCCCCACTAGCCCGGATGCCAAACAAGTAAACTCATGATTTAGTAGTCATAACGTTACTTCCATTACCTTCGCTATTTCCCTTGCCGATTGGTGCTGCTTCTAAACTAGGGTGCGTTTGTACACTGGGTTCCGGCTCGGAATTGGGTTCGGAAGCGGGCTCAGGAATGGAGGCGGGCTCAGGAATGGAGGCGGGCTCAGATTCCGGCAATTTAGCATGCCGGAATGAGTATTGGATAGTGGTGGCTTCTGGCTCAGAACTGGGTTCCGGCTCAGAGTTGGGCTCTGGTTCGGAACTGGGTTCAGGTTCGGTGCTGGGTTCTGGTTCAGAGCTGGGTGCCGGTTCAGAGCTGGGTTCAGGCTGGGAGCTGGGTTCCGGTTTGGAACTGGGTTCCGGCTGGGAAGTAGGCTCGGGTTCCGAGGTGGGTTCAGGTTGGGATGTGGGTTCCGGTTCGGACGTCGGTTCAGGCTCGGCTTCGGACTCTTCACTTTCTAGAGAGCAAAGACCGTCACCATTAGTGAAAGACTGTGAAGGCTTTCACGGCCGGTTAAATTACATTTATGAATGTTTTCCGGGCTTTGAAGCCCGTGGTCTATCGGAATTTCTTCCTGACGTTTCGTCCACAACTGCGGTGGACATTTTCACCGCGTTGTTTAACTCGTGCTAGATATCTTGCTTTTCAGGATCGAAACTGGTGAGGTTTTTTCGCTGAGGTGAAAACTCGTTTTTCCTTGACGTTAACGTTTTCTGCCCCAAAAACGCACCAAATTTTCGTTCAATTTTTGGTTTTTGTTAATACTTTTAAATTGTTAAAAATCATTTAATGGCTTATAACCGTCGATTTCCGGTATAGTAGGCCCTAATT